CGCTCCAAAAATATCCATAAAACATTTGCATAAAGCCCCAGGTGACCCAGATCCAGTCGTTCAAATTATTCCACCAAATGTTTTTTTTGTGCAGAATCACTGTCAGGCGTGTCCTTGCTCTATGAATAATAACCACGCAGACGGTAGATGCAGTTGTTTTATTGTAAAATGTCACAGCTATGTGCAATTCCCTTATGAAAAGGATTTTTTTTCAATACATTTAGTATAGTATGGAGAGCCTAGCGGACTTCACCTGTGCCCTTTTGTACAAGAAAGATACAGAGATGGTAAACAACTGGATGAAACAGCTCTGTAATCTGGGCACATTTTTGAAAGAAGATATAATAAAATAACATATATCCACATGTGCAGTTTATACTTTTGTTGATGCCAAAATTAAAAGATAAAATAGTAAGCAAGAAATGTCCATGAAATAACAAATAAAGAAACATGCATTCTACTGCATAGAAACACATCGCAGCAATCCAATAGATATGCATGTGCAGGAAATGATTGTTCTTAAAGGTTTTGACTGATTCAATACTTCTTTTCGGATGTGTCCACATAATGTTGCTCACAACAGTAAAATTAAAACACAAGTGACACTCTTGTTCTGTAGGGGGCAGTACAATACATACATGTTTTGTTTCTTATATTTATTTCCAAGCCAATGCAATAGAATAAGTTCTAATTTTTTGTTCCAGTAGGGACCGGAAATATTTAAAAAACCCAAACTATAAAAATAAAAAAGGGTTTCTTCCTTGTTCCTTTGTCTATAAACTTCCACAGAATGACACACGACTATGTCCATGGAGAATATTCTAAAGTATGGTTTTATCTTTTTACTTCAATAAAATCGTTTCTGTTTTCAAGGTTAGGAAAGTTACTTATATTCACTTTAAAAAGGTGCTACTTTTTATGTTATGATAAAAATTATAATTTATAATGTTGACTTCACATTCCCACACGTTGGTTTACAAGTTAAACCTCTGTCTCACCTTTGGATATACTTCTACACCAGCAGAAGACAATATCTGACTGCGTAACCATGGAAACACCTGGAGCTTTCGCAGTCCTCCGTTGTGGTGCCGGATACGCAATAATGCAATGTCCCTGGCCGATCAGTAGGGGGACTCACATTTATTGTTCCTTTGGGCGTTGTGTCTTTGGGCAAGACACTTAACCTCCGGGAACACCAGCCACAGTGGGGAGGCTGCGGCTGTAAAGTGCCAAACTGCCGTTGTGTCCATAGGCAAGACACCTCACCCACATTGCCTAGAATGAGTCTGGTGTGTGTGTGAATGGTTGGTGGTGGTCGGAGGGGCCGATGGCACATACTGGTTGCCTTGTTTCTGTCAGTGTGCCCCAGGGCAGCTGTGGCTACAGTAGTAGTTTATCACCACCGTATATGGAGTAAATTAATGATGACCCGTGCAGCGTCTTTGAGTGTCCAAAAAAGTGCTATATAAAACCGATGCATTATTATTATTATTATTATTATGAAGCCATGGTTTGAAACCTTGCGTGTTGTGGTTCTTTCCAGCTACAGTGAGGTTCTGGGATTTCATTTTATAATTCTGTTATGCGACAAGGGATTCAACCCGCTTTAGATTCCAAACAAAAGGACATTCCCAGGCAAGAGCAACACACTTTCCAATTATACAAATGTTTTACCAGTCCATCCATCCATCCATCTTCTTCCCCTTAATCCATTTCTGGGACGGGGGGTGGCAGTCAGAGCTACACCCAGTACACAGAGCACCAGCCCCTCACTGATCCTCCTGCAGGTGGTGAGTCCACAGGAGCAGAGATCTTTCAGTGGGGGCTACAGGCAAAGTGGGGTTAAGTGTCTTGCCCAAGGACACAACAACGTCATCAGTGGGAGTCGTAAAGTAGGTCTTTGGGTGGGCTCGAACCCACAACCTACAGGCCCAACGGTCAATGCTCTACCAACTGAGCCATTGTCGCCTGAAATTTTACCGCAGTGAGCGCAATAAAATATGAACACATCTAAACACCACCATTCTTTTCTACATGATACTAAAAGCCTACCCTTGTGCAATGACCACAAAAATGCTTGGCCGCCCAAGACTTTTCAAAACAAGAGTCTTATATGCCGGCATATCGATGCTTTTGTCTAATTAGTTTCATAGAGCACTCACAAATGATGTTATAGAGATTTAACCATTGCATGTTCGATTTTTTTTTTTTGGCACTTCAACCGACTCTCAAAACACTTCTTTAAGCTACTACACAGATGATGACCAATCTAATAAATAGTACGCACAGTTACACACACACCCAGTGATACTATTTGAGAATACTTCAGACAGGGTTAGACTAACAAGGCTTTTGCAATGGGACCCGGTAGAGATCGAGAAAGAAAATGTTGAATATTTTTATAAAAAAGTGGAAAGTAGCAGTCAAGAAGTAATTATTCTCCTGTTTTTTGTCCATGAAAAAGTGTATAAAGCGTACTACTTTGAACAAAGACTAACTCAGACAGTATAGTGAAAGCAGTAGTAGTTAGTCTATACATTGACAACAACATAACACAAGATAAATAAGTTCTTTGACATAGTGACAGCATTCGATGAGTATTTTGCTATTTTAAATCAGGGGATATACTTAAGTGAACACTATTTTCTCTCAACAAAAATAAATACCATCAATAAATATGTAAATAAATACCCTTTTGCCCTTGTTTTGAGTTTATACAATTAACTAAAGTGATGCCATACTTTAACAGTTACAAAATATATAACCTTTTACAAAAGTCCCAAAGGGTTAGAGCTTTGACATTTTTTCCCTTCTTATTATTTTCTATGTACATAAGCACTGTGATTTACATGTATTGATAATGAGTGTTTTTTAATCAACACTCCTGGTTTGAATACATCTTCTGGTTTCTTCTCTCAGAGTCAAGAGTATTTGTGTGAAAAAAAAAAGAAAATTAAAATGAAATTAAAAAACGCTGCTGATAATGGCGTTGTGAGTCAATGAAGTATTTTACATTCAAAGTGATGCGTTTGCAAAAGAATTGACACACAATAGAATAGTAAGGCATGCCTTAAAGATGAATTGGCAGTCTGTTGTTGATTTGGTAACATTTTTAAGCCTTGTACACTGAAAGTTTGAGTTTGAGTTGAGATATGGCCTAAAGCTGAACTAGTGTGAATCGTGAGGCAGGTTTGGTTAATTGCTCATGACATAATACCTAGCTGGTCCACACAAATGTGACTTTTTACCACAATTTCCCGATGCACACAACATAAATAGTTATTATTCAGCCACCTTCTCCTTTCGCTGCCTTTGGAGAAAATGATCCTGTCGTAAAGTTAAGTTAGCAATTACTTGGCCGCCGTCATGATCCGTAATGACCTTCGAACAGGCAAAATGTGGTAACTACGGAAAAACACAAGAGCACAAGTTGACATTGGTGATGCGACAACCTTTTTACCACACAATTCCTGCAAGCAAAAAGGTTGCATAAGCATAATTAAGTCTATTATGTAAATGCTTTTAACAACGAAACAGCAGACGATGAGAGTTCAGCGCTGTTTGTACGCTAATGGCTGCGAAAATAAAATGTGATTTCATGTCCTTGTAATATACTCTCCCACCATGATGCATAAACACACTGTGATATATTCAGCTTTATCCACAGACACGCAACATGTATAAGCAGTACCTTTTTCGGATGTTTCCGTATAACCAGTAAAATATAAAATGTGTTCCAATGATTTGGCCTGATAAGATGCATGCAATAAATGTAAACCACTATGCATGTAATAATAAAATATTTACACTGTCTGTACAGATGAGTTCATAAAATGTGGATTACGTATAGAATTGTGCTATCGCTGCAGCTAAACCAGAGTGGATTCCAGCGTTTGAGTTGGTTATTTAAAGTGCTTCGGGCTAGTAATGAGCTAATCTGGGCCAGTTTCACATAAGTGTTTGCAGTATGTAATGTAGGTAGGTCTTCTTTCAAACTGGTCCATTAGGAGAGTAAGATTAAGATCAATCTATGTGGCTAAAAGAAATTTGGTTGCATTGAAAAGGGCTAGATACAAAAATGTGAACAAAAAACAAAAACATGTTTTTTTGTCATCATCAAGACTAAAGTAGATTTATATCAGTAGACATGTAAACACACCAGGTTTTGGCTGGTTCAACCTGAACTATTGGACATTGGTAGTATTGGGAAACCGGAGCACCTGGAGGAAACCTATGCTGGCAGAGAGAAAATGGAAACTCCACTAAGAAAGGCCCCGTCTGTCCTGGGAATCGAACCCAGGACATTGCTGTGAAAAGCTGCTTGATTCCAATGGTGGCCTCAGTTGTTTCTATAAAAACAGTAAACTTATCGGTACATGTCAAATCTATGGAGATGGAATCCTTGATCGAATGGTAAAGGGGTTAAAATAATCTACTGCTTATAGACCTTTGCATTCAAAACGCTCATGAATTGAATTTCTAATCCTTGCTGACACTGCTGTATGAGCGGACATGGGAGACCGAACTCCACATATAAAATATAAATGACCTGATTGAGAATTCACATATACCGCTCTCATATTGAATATTTGTTATTGAAAAGAGTGATCTAGCATATTTGTGAAACTGGCCCAAACATACGTGTACATTTGTTCCCATTGATCTGAATTGCTTTTTAAATACTGATAATGTGAGAAAAGCAGCCATAAATCTGTAATTTTAACCTCAAAATGATCAATGTTACGTCCACATACAACAATATTCTCACAACAATCGTCAAAACCATTTCATGCCGTGTAAGATGTAATGCTACAAGATTCGCAGTGTCTTTAGTCGTTAAATATAACCCACTGAGTGAAACCAAAGTGAAATGAATGCGAGATTTCAAGAGAGTCCAAACAAGTCATTTGTCGCTTTCCTTTGTCGAAAGTCTGTTAGCTCTAGCGCATGAAAAACCAATGAAAACCAATGGACGTCGACTCATAAGAGACCGCGGAGCCCTAGAGGTACAGGTAGGACACCCAGTAGACCAGGTTGAAGAGGCCGAACGCGGTGGGGAAAAAGATGCGCGCGTACGAGTCTATTCTGGCCACGCGGATGTGGAGGCGCCCGTGCCGCCATGCGCCCGTGCGGCAGTCCTCGAAGCAGCAGAAGAAGCTGGTGCAGTCCTTCCCGTCCAGGCACTCGTAGCCGTACTCCTCGTCGCGCTCGGTCATGTGCGTGGCGTTGTTCATCTGGATGGCGGTGGCGGAGCGCGGGCGGATGTCGACCGTGGGGGTCTGCGGAAGAGAGCACGGTAAGAGGAGCGGGGATTCAATAGTCACTTTACCTTCTGCTGCTGCTGCTATTATGATTACTATTATTAATTATAGGTCTCTGCTGCTAAAGTACAACATTAACCATCTTTAAATGTGAAACTTCCTGACTGCTCACTACGGTGTGTATACTCCACAATGGTACGAATCTTTGCAATTACCCAAGTGCAATAATAGCTCTAGAGTTGAGAATCTTTATTACCATATTGCACTTGCTTAAGACGCATCTTTTCTCTTTGGCTTTTAATACAGGTCGAAAGAGGCAAGTTTTTGTTTTTGTATGTATATATATTTGTATTTTTATGTGGTTTCATTGTGCTGCTATTTACTGTTTGTACACCACTTTGGTAAGCCTAAACAAATAAATATTTGATTGATTGTATTATCATAAATAATGGATCTTGTCTTATGTGTGCATAACCGGAGTATTCTTATTCCTCCTTTAATTCAGATATAATGAGTGCAACGAGAACACTGAAATTTACCCAATGAGGGGCGAACAAAAGGGCAACTTTCTTCTTATCCTATGTTAGAAGAGGTTTAGATCATGTGTTTGTTAATTGTCATGTCAGGGAACGCAATCTTTTTCTGTGTATACATCATGTTGTACACAAAAGGGGTGACGTAAAATGTCCTTATTTTTGACAGACATTGATGATTACAACTAATTGAATCAGAAATATCCTCCAGACATTCCTGGAAATATGTGATTTTCAACAGAAGTCAACAGAGGCACATTTCTTGTCACCATTGGCAACAGTGACTAACATCGTGCTAATCACGTCAGAATTGATGATAAGAATACCACTGTGCGATGATTGCAGAGCTGAAAAGGATTGTGTCGATAAGTAAAGCTAGAAAACTGAGGTAGCTGAGGTAGCGGAGAATGATCATGGTAGTGTTCTGATGACTATTTCCACTTCTTTGGGATATTGAACAGTAGTGTAAATACAAGCGACGGTATTGTAATATATCGGGAGAAGTTCTGTAGATTTGGAGGTTTTAAAAATGAATTGTGTGGATAATAAATTGCGTAGTGCCTCATTGCCGCTGTTACTTCTTCCCACTTAACTGTTGTGTGAAGGAGACATACTCCAATATGAACTTAAGTGCTACTCTAACTAACTCATTTACATGAAGCCGGACAGAGGATTAGATTTTCCAGGTAACTGCCCACCTCTGCTGCTTCCCTTCACTCCAGCCGCTTGTCTTCTTTCAGTTTCCTCAGAAAAGCAATTTGCACCTTGCGCTCACCAAAGGACCCTTTTAATGTCATGAAAACACAAATAGGCTGGTAAGTGGCACCTATGGCTGTAATTAGTGACAAAGGCGTAGTTCCCAAAGGGCGCCAGATGCAAATTACACCTTTGGGTTTGGACATAGCTAGCAGCGACGGCGATGTTCATATTCACGGTAATTCAATCACTTTCAATCTGTTGTAGACAATGCAGAGATATGGCACTTCACTTTTTGACTGTGATTAGCAAACATTTGGGAATCTGATAAAGACAAGAAAACAGACAAACACCCATATGCAATTTGTTGAATACACAAAAACAATAGTTATATGCCGTGTGACTCAGCAAATCGCAACTATTATTACCAATATGGATTTTGTCTATTATGCTCTGACCTACATTGGAGACACAGGCGGGGGATTGGCGCAAATGCAACGAACAATAGAGCCAGAAATAGTAGAAAGCCTCTGTGAACAATCCAATAAGCAGTCACAGTATACAATTAAAAGAAAGAATACAAATGTATCCTTTAACCCTCATTGATTTCGGTGCTTCTACCTCTCTATCACATTTCTCATTGTCTCACTGCTAATTTACACATCACGCGTTACAGCACGTACACGTTATACGCGCAGCAGACGCGCGTAACTTTTTTCCATGTTAACCAATGAGGATATTTACACTTCTAGCGTTATACGCGTGTATGACAGACGTATGACGCGAGGCTGCGCTCTAATTTAGGATGGATTTCTAATTTTGTGCACGCACCAACGCGTCTCCTATTGAAATCTCATGTAAAACATGATTTTTCTAGCGGTCGTTGGCTCTAGATCGCATCTACACACACACAGCACTTTTGTCTAAACAATAACAGGAGGAGCAGCAGGTTTTACAGTGATTCTGGACATCAGTTTTTTTCTTTCATAAAGTCTCTCGTCCGGCCAGACCAGCGCACAGAGACCATGAGGACAAACACATGCATGTGATTTGTGTTGCTCTACATCAGTCCTCTGTACTGTCCTCTACACTGCTCCATAGACTACACAGGGACAGCATCAGAAGACGCGGACCTGCGCACACGGCTAGTGTAGATACTCCAAAAAAAATTTACGCGCAGAGAGCGCCCAGTAAACTCGTACGCCCTGTCTACGCCTACTGTGTAAATTCCTTGTCAGAGTGTAAAAATTTAAAAACACTACTGATTATTAACCTAAACTAATATCAAGTTAGGTCAAGTGACATGGGATATTTAATGCCTTTTATGACACCCAAAGCCATTCGAGGCATCTTAACTGAGAACAGCTTGTGTACAATAATCTGGCATTCTGAGCTGTGACCATCCAAGAATGAGGCTTGAAATGGTTAGCCATGCTTCTAAGTGTAGTATACCATAACAGCAGCATTCTACATGTTTCATTTTCTCACATCAGTATAGAAGTGGGAAGTAAAATGGTTGAGTTTCCAAGGAGAGGCTAAAATGTTTTCCTCAAAATATTGAGGAATTGAATTTTTGTACAGTATACTGGCAGGCACTTGTTTACTTTTAGTTAACACGAGTTGGCCAAAAACTAGTACTTTTGCCCACTCTGAGTGTAGTACATGTCTTCTTTACACATATACACTAGTGAGGCCCTACACCTCAGATCTAGAAGTATCTTAAGTCTGGAACCTGAGCTTTGAAAACAGATTTATCTCTGTTTTTGTTGTTGTCCCTGTTGACATCAGGAACTGGCCTTTTCTAAATGCAAACAATTATTCCCTCGTTTTCTCTTCCCTTTATCCCCAAATGCCACGCCACCTTCACACAGATTGGACTTGTGGCAGTTTGGCAGATTACACTCGTCGTCTCTTTTTGGCAGAGCGTGAGTGTTTTTGACCTAGCCGATAAATCCTGGTGTCAGACTCATTTCTCAACAGACGAGTCGAAAGTTCAACCTGTGAAACTTTGCCCCGTTTTTATTCAAGAAAGTCACAGCAGTCGCATGAGGCATCTTTTAAGTCTTTTCTCTAAGGTTGGAAAGTGCTTAGTAAGGTTTTTGGCTAAAATTCCAGTCAAAGGCAGTTATTCATTACATAAAGTGTGTTTGACTGTTTTTAATTATTGCTATATTCTATTTTGTGAAATAATTAATGCTTAAAATAAAATAAAAAATAATGCAACTATAATTATAACTGACATATTTAAAATAACTAAACACAGATTTGAGAAGAAACTGAGAATAGGTTAAAATGTATAGGAACTAGCAGAGATCAAGAAGACTTTTGTATGATTTACACAAGCTCACATTCCAAAGGTGATGGTTAAGGTATACTTTAGAGTCACGATTTTGACCCTCTGCATTTCATCCATTCGATGAAGTCACTAGAGTAACCTGTCAGAAGAGATGGCCACCACAGTACACCCATGTCTCCAGATGTTGAGGTCTACCCGTGCTGGAAGATTTTACCTGTGCATTGTGCATGTGCATGTTTTGGGTGGTGGGAGAAACAGGAGCGCCCAGAGGAAACCCACCCAGACAGTGAGAAACATGAAAACTCCACACAGGATCGATCCGATGGAACCTGAGAGCTTCTTCCTGTGACTTTAACAATTAAAATATATTCCTGAATTCGAATTAATCCGACGATAATGTATGTATATTTGGCTGCTTGGTACCAGACGGAATCAGTACACTCAGGAAGTAAAACAAAAATATTAAAACTGGTCCATTTGTTACTGTCTAATGTGCACTTATGATTATGTGTTTTTTATACAAGTATATAATAGAACAAAACAACTTTAAAATATCAATAATTTCCCCAAAAGATGTCCCATATTTAAGATGTGAATTAAACTAAAGGCAGAACAGACGGACATATTTTATACAAAAGACTTCAAATACATCAATACATAAACACGTACGACATTGGTGGACATCATTTCCAATAACTTTTCCCTGCAATTATGATGTGGACCATGGCCATGCACCCAAAAGAAATATAGGCCATGGCATCTTTAAGCGTTATAGCATGCATTCTAAAACAAGCGTCAAATGTCGAATGTACTGTAGTTATTTGCTCAGCTCTTATGCAAATATATATATAAATATATATTAAAAAATCCCTTTGAAAACGCTACATAACCGGCAAGAAATAGAACCACATTGATGCTTATTCAAATCATTTACGAAGCCAAGGAGTGGAGGTTATGAGTCAGTTTCAAAGGGGGATCAGTGCCACCAAAGAAAAAGAAAAAAATGTGTAAAAGCTCAAGCAAGAGGCGCATGGAGACGTCGCTTCAGACTGGGCTGTGTTAGCAAAGGAAAAGGTTAGAAAACAAAACCATAAGGGACAAGTGGCGTCATCAACTTTAACTGGCTGAAAACGGACAACCTCTATGAGCTTGGAGAGCCCTCAGATGAACTCAAAATATCCCGGACTCGTGCGTGCAAAAAGAGATTAACTCGTCACAAGGTCTAAATTTAGCCGTCGGGTTTGGCCGTGTAGCTGTATTTGGGCATTTCCTTTAAAAGATTATGGCGCGTGCTAATCTCATGAATGGACCCAGCGAGTGTAATTAGCCCTAGTGCATTGTGGTTGTCCGATTCAGTCTGTTAAGGCTCTGCTTAGTCTGGAGGAAAGTGTCAGGTCGAGGAGACGTGGACAAACGAGTGGTACTCTTCAACTAGAAGACAGAAAAACATGTGTTTGCTCTTAGAAGTGACCAAAGCTACTGGACAAATCAATTGCTGACAAGATATTCCTAATTACCTCCAACCAGGAAGTTAAGTGATCACTGCCATTTGTCTGTTTAATCATCTGTGAGTAACTTCATTCAAAAACATATGTTAGGATTTGGATGACATTTTCCTGAAACATGGGAAAAACAAGGGAATCCATTTTGGAGGTGATATAAAAAACAAAACATCCCCATTTCTTTTAAGGAATGGGTCCGTGCCTCGAGGTGGAGGTGTGTGCTGTTCTAGTCATGTGCTATTTTCTCTTAGCATAAAACCAATTCATAATAATTTCTTTAAATATGTCTTTATATTTGTTAAACCAAAGGTGTCGAACTGGTTCCAGAAAGGGCTAGTGTGGCTGCAGGTTTTCCTTTCAACCAAGTAGGAGCACACCAGGCTCCTCCCATTTCCTAAATCTTCAGATTAAGACTGGACTCACTTGTGGAAATGGGTGGAGTTGGGTGTGCATCTGCTTGGTTGAAATGAAAACCTGCTGCCCCACTAGCCCTTTAAGGAACGATTAAACACCCCCAAGTTACACTTTTTGTCGTTTTTTCATAGTACACCGTTGGGACTAATATTCAGGAGTTTACATCATGAACTGATAAACTACTACACACATCAATACAATACGTGATTTAAATGTAACCTCAGAATGTTCATTGATTAATTTGTAACCAATCAAGGTTTGGAGTTGATAGCTATATATCTAAGAACTGTAGCAGATTGGGAGAAACGAATAAAACAAAATTTGACTATGAAGGTCTTATGCCCAACTGTTTTTGCTGACTCCATATTATTTAATTTGTCAAATCATTCAATCAAAAAACTATTTTAATTCACAGAATTGAGAAACAGACATTTCTGATATTGTTTGCTGTCTGTAAAATATATGTTTACTGATACAGCCCATTGGTTCTTGTTGTCCACATCATCTGTCTGTCCATCAATCTTTCCATTTATCCATCGAGAGGTTTGAACATTTTACTTTGTTGTTGTTTCATATCCAAGGGTACCACCATTTTGTCCACATCTACAGATTTAGTGACAGGAAAAAAATCAGGAAAAGAAACAAAAAAAAGCTTTGGCGTCAGCTGTGGTTACAACAACAATAAGAGAGTACGTGAAACAGAGCAGAGGGGATTAGCACAGCCTGAAGTCAGTACGTGTGTTTCGCGGCCTCTGCTCTGTGCACGCGGCAAACAGCCCATCGTGGTCCCCATCAGCGAGTTAGTGCGTCGGGTTCAGAATGCAGGCGTCAATATTGAAGGAGAGAAGAGAGGGTAGAGCCAGTCTGTCCAAACAGTGAAGCCGTGAGGTGCCGGGACTCGGGAAAAGCTCAAAATGCAGCAGACACATGCATCAGACACGGGCAATGTTATTATTATACCTTTGAGGAAAAGAGCCGCAGGAGCTATAGTCCCGACAGGAAACAAAGAAAATGGAAGTTAACACAAAAACAAAAAGACAGAAATAGGGAGACACATTAGAAACAAGGAACTCAAAATGGAGACAATGTCCAAAGAAGTAGGCCTGCCATGATATTAATATAGACATATTGCAAAATACCGTTGGTTTTACACTATGTTTGGGGTCTGCAAATTTTCTCTGCAATAGTGGAACGGATTTTTTGTAGTACATATTCTATATATCGCTTTTCATACAATATATATACTTTTCAATCACTAAAACAATGGGGGTAAGATACTATTTGTAGTCACACCTGCCCTAGGCTGCCACACAGGTGCCACCAGACCCCCTGAACACCCTCTCACATACTTATAGCAAAATAGATTTCTTGCCTAAGGACTTCAGAGTCACAGACTGGGGACAAAACTAACCAGATTTTACGAGAAGTTCTTTTACACCAAAATTTCCCTACTGTGGGACAAATAAAGGATCTCTTAATCTTTACGGCAGAAGCCTTTAAAACGTTTTTTGGTATCTATTCTATTGATGTATTCTATCGATTTTTTTTCATCATGACAGGTCTACAAAGACATGATTCCTAGAACATGTGTAAGAACAGAGAAAAAATCCTGCAGATCAATAAACACCAATCAATGTGAGACATATACAATACATTAAAACATTAAACACAAACTTGTTTTTAATTTACATAAATGTATACAATGCTATCAGTGGTGCATGTATCATTGTAAAACAGGTATGAATACCAGAAGTAATGCATGAGGGTTTTCATTAATGTGAAAGACAAGATTGGCGAAGAAAACCATTAATTATTAGTTTATTTTCTCCAGATATGCTTAAATATTGGGGTGCATAACGATAGCAAAAGTCTGTTGACTGAGTTAGGCTTTTGGAGCCAGTACGCTCTATAATATCATCATGTTTGGCTAACTACTACACCACGCAGTTAGTACGATGTTCCATCGTCAGCTATCATGCAGTGGCCAATACATTTGACTGCAGTGTGCCCAAACTCCATGAGAGATTATAAGAGCTAAGAGGCTGCAGAAAGCTGTAAAATGCTGTGGAACATTCTAACATATTGAACTATTCATGAACTTCCAAAATAATTTACACTTTCTCCTGCACACTTTGTGCCTTCTGCGTCCCTGGAACGCTCAGAGATGGGACACCGCAGTGCATCCCCCCTTCATTATCCATTCATCCATCCACGACAGTCGCTTTGGCCCGAGTGTGAAGCCGCTGCTGAGACCACAGAGCCCCATTTCCATCCTCTACCCTCAAGTTGTATCTCAATTCTCCCTGACAGCCGAGTCAAAACTTTGAATATGATTGTATATTTTTACACAGCTAAAATATGATTGTGTATTATTGTGTATGAGTGCATGACGTATGCTGAAATCCAATGGTTCAGAACAAGCTTCTGCCAATCTGTTCTCTACACCAGAACTCCCAGAGCAGTCAATTTGACAGCTTTTTTGGAATTACTCAGCTTATGCATGTTTTTGGTCTTCATAACTTTGTGACTTCTTCTGTTTTTATACATAGTTTATATCAATGCAATCATGTTTATAAAAGGATCTTGGCCCATAGACTGGTCTGAGACTGGTTCAGAGCAATCTCAGCTCGGAGCCAGTGCTAGTTACCATAGAAAGACACTGTTTACTTGCATAAGTTAGTATTTAGTTTTGATGTATTTCAGTTATATTACCAGTTTTAGCCTTTATTAAATAAAAAATAAAAATAAAAAACATGTGAATAACTGTAACAGGGTCCCATTATTTTGAATGGGAGCCATCAAAACGACTGCTCTGGGAATTCTAGTGGTTTCAGAAAGTCCTAGAGTCTCAAGAATATTGTGAAGATATTGACGAATGGCTGCAGAATTGGAGAAATTAACAGAAAAATAAAACCGGTAAACGGTTAATTTGTTAAAGTGAACCAAAAAATAGGAGATGTTAACGAAAAAATAGCCTAACTAAAGTTTTTATTTAAGTGAAATGAAAATGTAAAACAAAGGGCATATTACAATTTTTCAAATTTACAGTTGTGATATTTTGGTCCATATACTATAACTTTCAAGGTGAGAAAACATTCATAGCATGTTTTTTTTCTAATTAAAGGTGGAATACCAACATTTTTTTTATTTGTCCCAATAGAACAAGAAAAAAAGTTTTATAAAACATTTTTTGCATTATTTTTAGAAAGTTCTGCGGGTCATCTGGCAATTTGCATTGAGAGCTGATTGGCTGAGTGAAGGTAAAAAAAACATCTGATATAAAGTTGTGAGAACTGTTTTGAGAACTAGAAACTGGTTATATACATTTTATCACAGTTAGATTTTTTGTGCTTTAAAAATTAGGTACCCCAGCTTTAAATGTTGACAAAATATTGCTGTTGGTAGATTTTTTTTTTTTAAACATACAGACTGCTCCTTTAAATAAGTATTAATAAGCATCAACTCCACAATATGTTCTGTATTAGCCATTTTTAAGCAGTAGAATGAGTGATTTTCCATCAATACTCACAGGATTCTTCTTCTTCTTGTCCTTCTTGGCGCTGGGCTTCCTGTTGCTGACAAAGTAGTGCAGCGTACCATACTCGATGAGCGCGGCGAAGACGAAGATGAAGCACACGGACACAAACAGGTCCATGGCGGTCACGTACGACACTTTGGGCAGGGACTTTCGGGCGATGGTACTCAGCGTGGTCATGGTCAGCACCGTGGTGATACCTGATGGAGGAGGACAAGAGATTCAAATGATGAGAGTAAATTATTAGTATTTTGAGTTGACAAAGTGTTGCTTAGAATTTGTCTCTCCGTGCATGGGAGCGCTAACTCGTTTTTCGTTCCTCGTCGATGCAGGAGGGTCTAATGATAGTTATGATCCAGGGTATTTATGGACATTTATTAACATTTATAGCCATGGATCATCCTGCTCCCTATGGATCAATGGTTGGTAAGTGTTTGTTATTACTGCATGTTCATATTGTTTGATTCTCTGATCTGTTGTTGGTGAATTGAAAACTCTGTGAAGTCCTCCGGGACGACGGCTGTGGTGATTTAGGGCTACACAAAAATATATTGAATTGAAATTAATTGACATTTCCAATGGTTTTTGTACCAGGGACTTTTCTGGTTAAATGAAGGTTACATAAAAAAATATATATTATATAGGCTAAAGGCTGATTGGTCGTTCAAAAGGGACTCTCCTTACTTCACTAGAAAGGCAACACCAACAAAATCCTCCTTGTGTTATGGAAGTGAAGTTCAAACATTGCTGATAGATTCCAATATTTATTTCAATTTGAAAATCACCAGCTTCAGTTTTAAGACACACCACCTGTAAAGTTTCACATCAATTGTCAATATTCCCTTTCTGTTACAAGTATTGTATTTTTTCCCCCCATAAAATACTGAATATGAATTTGTGTGGGACAAAAAAAAAACGTCATTAAAGATGGAAACAGCGCCCTCCTGCTCGAGACAGACCGTTCTCATACAACTTTCAATCTAGTGAATTTTTGATAACATGGATTTCGTTCATTTTCATGTGCACTGCCTGTGAGATGACATTCTGAACTGATTTAGTGGACATCAACCCAATACCCATTGAACAGAATAACTGCTACACTTGTGTTTACAGTATGCATTCTTGTACCCCAACCCCATTTTAAATTGTCTCCATATAGTTATTCAGTGATGTTTTTGTTGGCTTCAATTTCATAAACACAGGTCGGATTCAAAATGGGCAGAGGGAAAGCAACTGCAGGTCAGCAAACTTGTTTACAGTGGTTCCTCACTACACCTCGGCCCACCTTTTTTGTGTTTCTCATGCGCCACATGAATACTCCAACAGCACATGTATATGAGTATGTGCATAATGCGTATGTATAAGATAAGATAAGATGTGCTTTATTTATTTCACAGAGGAGAAATTTACATGTCACATTTGGCATGGATAGAGACACTCAGATTGTGCAAAAGGAGGAAATGTGCAAACATGTTACATGCAGGATATATATGTACAATAAAAGTGACAATAATTATGTACAACAAAAGTGACAAGTGTCAATTGGAAACAGTGTCAATAGTAGTGCAGGTTTTCACACAGTGATCATTTAAAGTGACTCATTGTACAGTCTGACAGCGGTGGGGATAAAGGCCCTGCGGTAGCGCTCCTTCCTACACTGAGGGTGCCTCAGTCTTCCACTGAAGGAGCTCCTCAGCTCCTCTACAGTCCTGTGCAGTGGGAGGTATTGTTCATGATGGAGGTGGCTTTGGCTAGCACCCTCCTGTCCCTCACCTCCTCCACAGAGTCCAGGGATCAGCCCAGAGTGGAGCTGGCCCTCCTGACCAGCTTGTTCAGTCTGTTTCTGTCCCGCTCTGTGCTGCCCGGGGCCCAGCACACGGCAGCGTAGTAAATGGCAGAAGCTACCACAGAGTCATAAAAAGTCCTGAGCAGAGGCCTGCTCACTCCGAAGGACCTCAGCCTCCTCAGAAGGAAGAGGCGACTTTGGCTCTTCTTGTGCAGGGCGTTTGTATTATGGGACCAGTCCAGTTTAATGTGAACACCCAGGTACTTGAAGCTGTCCACCAGCTCAATAACATATACATAAGTATATGTAGTGTTAGCCTTTGCATGGTACTACTCGTGGATGTATGCGTCTTTTATTCATATGTAGCAAATGTAGTAAAATGTAGTAATGGTTTCAAGGAGACCACCGCTAATCTAAAAAAAACAAAACTCAACTAAACTCAACTCAACTGTAGGTATGAAACAATGCAGTACAATTGCACATAAAAATGACATTTTAAGTCTCAATATCCCTCTGCTCTCTCGTAACCTCAATCCCGAACCCAAGTCGCATGTTGCAACCACAGCGTCTTGTCTTATTTAGCAACAATCAATAAGAAGATTAATGGCCGCAGTTTGATTGTAGCTGTGCATCGCTGGGGGAGGAGCGAGCATCTGTTTTCCTGCCGTCTTCATCCATATACTATACTGGTTCATGCTTTAGCGGCCATTAACCAGTGCTCAGCTATCCCACACTCTTAAACGCACCATCTGCCAGAGCTGATGCATCTTCTACTATATATCCATCTATCTGCGTTTTCAATAATGAGCGGAGCGAGCCGGATCATGGCCCATTACAGGGGAAAAGCGTCCGTGAGCTGGGTCTAATACAACAGATAAGCACAAGCAGAGTACCAACAAGAGGTTAAACTGCCTACTTTGTGACAGAAATAGAACGCTTGTACAGGCAAGATGATTTATGTCTAAATTTATTGTGGATTAAAAGAAATCAGTCGGTCGGAGATTAGCACCATGGCATTGTGGGCGAATTGATATATTTCAGGAAAAGCGTAGAAGGATTACAAATTATGTTGCCGACCATAGTAATCCTGCACTGGGAATAGACACAACACAGTAGGAAGCAGGGCTGTTTTTAAAAGAAATAGCAAGTTATAATTTGTAAATTTAAGTTTGAAATGAAATGATTGTGTTGTTCGAACTGTTTTAAGCTGGGGTACCGGGTATTATTGTGTGATTATTGCATGATCCAATAGAAAGTCTTGTATTAATAATTTGTAAATAAGACCTGTAAGAAAGGAACCTAGTGAGTCACTATTTGATGCTTTGGGCTGAAAGATAATTGACTGAGCAACAGTAGACCTCTTTTTTTTTTACTTTTGTGCCTAAAAAATCTGATCTAAAGATGCAACAGAGGCTAAAAGATAGAACAAAACTGTTTTGAGAGCAAAGAACCAGTTGGGTTAAAAGTTAGATACTCCTGCTTTAATGAGATGGACTGGGAAAACACTACATGAACACAATAATATAGTGCTTTTGAATTAAACTATAACTTTGAATTGTTCAGTAATTATGTCTGTAGAGTTACCCATGTGCTAACCGTGAATCGCCTGCAGAAACTGGTAACTATGGGAAGCCAAATAGTGTTATCAGCAGCAGTATGCGGAAGACAAAACAGCTTATTTTTAGTCAATTTAATGACGGACAATGTAACGGTGTTATCGCAGGCCTGGAGGGACTGGTGAGCGCTGCTTTGCTCTCACTAATGATCACATCCCGAAGACTGGAGGTCAGGTTTGAGGCTCAGAGGAAAGCTGAGTAAGGAGGTAGGAAAAGTCAACTTCACAGAGCGGCCACAGAGCGCCAAGGGCAAGTTCAAGGCTGACGAATTTACACGAAAGACTTTCTCCTGCCCCGTTTCTCTCCTCTTCGTCCCGTTTGTGTATTCAGCAAAGATGCCACCTGCATCCTGATTGTGCTGAGAAGGCAGCGCTGCGTTCCTGGGGATTTTCTGCATAATTAATGTCTCATTAGGCGTATGTGGAAACATATGTGCCACTAAGGGTCTTCTAATCATAACGGACTATGTTGATGTCTTGTCTCGAGGGGGAGTGTTGGAGCACGGAGACATTTAGATTAATTAACGCAATGTAAAAAATGCAATAGAGTGAAATATTTCAAAGAGTCTATAGTTTGAAATAGTGGTGGAGAGCAACTGAAATGATCTCTCTTGGTAAATATGGTAACTGTAAAAATGAAACTTTTAATCTTAGTTTAGAGCTAATTTATCTGTAAATACTTTGCCTAACCACATTAAACAAAAACTGTCAAAAAAGTTCCACTTCTTCAGTACATATACATTATGGTGTCTCATAAATGTGTCAAGGTGTGGTGAAATTAAAAACAAAAACAAAATAATGAATGATATTGTGAGCTTGTGATTTGTCAAATAATGTTTTTCTTTTCTTTCATTCCAAATGTTTTCTTTCTGATAGAGTTATATTGGCATCTGCTCCAACTGAAATAGAACATGAGCACAACCTATACAAAATAATGGTAAAATAGATTTTCTTTGACGTTTTTTTAGTTTTAAACTCAGTATGATATGTAGATGTATATTATATAATAATAGAAGTAATCACTGCTCAAAAACCAGATTATTTACAATGGACAAACTTGCCTCTCAATAGAGATGGACGTAATGAAGCCAAGTAAAGCCTTGCTTGCTGCCAACGTCAATGCAAAAATTATCATAACGCAAAACATTTTAGGCAAAACAACCACATTATGAAGGCCTGGGGAAAAAGTTAAACTCTATAGTTAAGTTTTTAATCTGCAAAAAGGGTAGAGCCAGTTTAAGCATGTTCACTTACAGTGGAAGTAGAAGCAATGGCCTTTTTTGTTTGGCTAAAGATAATACTTTAAATAATTCTCAAATTGCCAAAAGAGATGAAAGAAATATTGAAGAATTTGAAAGTCAGTGTCATGGAAAACTTTGAAAACAAAATTAAGAGCGAAAGAGGGAGAGAGAATAGACTCTTGAATCTAGTTGAAGTGGATTGAGCTGCTGATGTGTAACAGCGGGGAGCTATTAGGGAATGGGCGCTAAATGAACCCGCTAACTGGATGGTCCTCTGTGAGTTTGTAATGATAGATGTGGAGAAGGTGTCTGCAAATTAAAGCCAGATACATGTAATTAGCTGGAAAGGGCTGAGACAATAAAGACATAAGGATGCAACTGACGTTCACCCCAGTCACGCAAAATGGTGTAAACATAAGGGAAGGTTTTATAATGTCTGTGCATGAGTCACTTTATTTGCGGCCAAAAGGAACTCTAGTTTTTCATGTCCAGGGGTTTCTACAACATTATTTAAACCAGCCTAATGATGTATTGTGTTGATTGAGGTTCTTTAGCCAACATGATGAGCAAGAGAATGTTTGGTTCACTCTGGAAACCAAAATATTGCATTGGTATAAATAAATGTACAATGCCACAATGTAAGTATTCCATGTTTGAAGCTGGGGTATCTAACTTCAAAAAAAATAATAAAAAAATGCACATCTCTTCACAATTAATTTAGTTTATCCTAGCAGAAAGCAAACATATTTCTTAGTATATGCATATTTCAAAGTAAAAGCCCTTTAAGTCAATATTTGGAGCTTTGGTCTGATTGGCTAAGAAAGGTACCCTCTTTTTTACTTTTCCGTCTGCTAAAGCTAATCTATAGATGTGACAGAGCAAAAAAACATGCATACATGTATGTATTCTATTATATCGTTCCATTTTTTGTGGTTAGAAATGTAGGTATACCCTAAGTGCAATGCATAGCTGCAACATTAATCACAGTGTGGATTGGTCTTTTAATGATATATGCATAGTTTGGACATCTACTGTATGTTCTGGCATTAACTGTGCTGTCAAATTCTGCTGTATCGATCATTTTAAAACCAAGCAAAAACGTCAAAGGGTTCAGCTCCTTCTAAGCCTAATGTAAACCAAGCAGACTCATGCGTATGACTGAAATGCCTTATACAGGTACCGAGTGAAGTCCGTGCCGGAACAGCGTCCTTGTTGATCCAGAAGGAGACCCAGGACAGCACCACGATCAGGGTGCAGGGGATGTAGGTCTGGATGGTGAAGTAACCCATCCTCCTGCTCAGGTCGAAGAACACGGTCAGCACCACGTAGTCACCTGGAGACATACGAAACAACAGCGGTGAAGACATGATGGACGTCTAAGCATTTCAGCAAAATGAAAGGGCTTGGTCCAATTGAAGTGGACTTTTGGCAAAACATGTGTTGCTTGTTCAAATGTGAAAGCAACAATCAACTCAGCTTTGGTCAACTTTACCACAAGATTCAAGAATTTATGTATTTAACCCTAACCCATTTGCAGTAAAACTGTGCAAGACTACCCAGTGTGCACCAGACAGAGAACTACTAACAACTCTTTGTTTGACAATTTTCTTGGAGGCAGCTGACGATTTTTATTTTTACCACGATTCACATTACAGTCCCTTGACTTGTGAAGTCACGGCCATGAATGAACGTGAAATGCTCGTAACAGACCAGTAAAGATAAACGATGGACAGAATAGCATCGACTGGTTTAAAGGGAGTCTTTAATGTGAGGACCAACAGAGTGTGTACAGCATCTCCATAAAATACAATCTTTGTAGGGCGTTTATATAGTCTGTCTGTATTGTCTTTAACTGGACAGCCTTCTTGACCAAAAGAAAACACAGGACATATTTTGCTTCACCAATAGAAACATGTGACTATGATTAGGACTCTGTAGACACACCTTTGCAGTAAACAGGACAGACTTTATTCAATAGTCAGAACGTCGAGCTCTTCTTGCATTCTTAGCCTTGGACAAGAGTAAAATGGCAAGTTTTGGACAAGAGTATAATGGCACATTAAACACATTATGAGTGAAAATAGTCACAATTTGTATGTCCCAAAACCAAATACAGAGAATAAGTATGGTGAAATTTGCAGTACAGTACAGTGCACCAGTATGTATTTGAAGAGTTCATATGCAAAAACACATATCTCTGTTTTGAAATTGTGTCCAAATATTGCATTCCTCCAGTTCTTCAAAATGTTTTGTTAATGACAGTACACTTTAAGGAATTTGTGCAAGAAAGGGTGAAACTTTATTTGTATGGCAGCAAAATAGATCTGGCCTTTCACAAAACTACTTGGTAAAGAGAAAAGCTTTTTCGATATGTTTCCATGGCACTTACTTTATCTGAGTTTGCATATAAACTATGAATTTGTCTTTCTATGTCTGTTTTGTTAATGCATGTAAAACTGTGATGTTGATTTAAGCCTGAACATTATGAGACTATACATATGTTTGAAATACAACAATTGACATAGAAGCAAACCACAACTGTCTAAGTTTAAAGTATTACAGTAATGCAGACAAATACCCTTTACATCTATTCCCTGTGTAATAACAGCAAACACACCTGCCAGCCAAACGAACAATTAGATTCACTTGAATCTCTGCTAAACACATAATCATAATGATATAGAGTGTAAGGTTAGCTGCCAACATCGTAAGTAAATGTTAATCAGCGTAAGATCAATACGCAATGCTGTACAAACAAACAATTGTCTGCCAAAAGCATGGCGACTGAAGATTAAACCTGATCTGAAAATGCACAATAATGATTGAGAATGCCAGCTACAGACAAAACAAACACGGATTTTCTGCCAGTTCCAGTCCGCACTTGGATCCCGGACAGCGCTGTGTAGAATTATACCTGTGTGACCCCAGCAGATGTGGGAGATTTTGCGTTAGCACCGTTCAAACTCGGTCCAAAAGCTGCACTATAGTGAATACGGATCGCTGGCCGGTTTAAAAAAAGAAAAGAAAAGGCAGGCAAAGCAAGTCTCACAATGTGCAAATTCAAAATGCAGCGTCTAATCCAGAACCGAGCGGACAGACAAGCGTGTCAGAGAGCTCAGACTGGGGACACGGGTGGATGTGCCAGGACCGGGGAAAGATGCCAAACCGTGAACATCTGCAGCTCTACCTATGAGCAAGTCGAATCTCTGAGGATCCATGTAAAACAGAGAGGATGACTTTTCAAAATGAGATCATATAAACAGAGAGGGCTGCAATGAAACACAGCTGAGGATTAGATTAGGATAGAACTCCCGCAGCAGTCAATTTGACGGCTTTTAGTTTTGGTAAAAGTGTAATTACTCAGCGTACCTTTGTGGTCTTCATAAATAAGTGAGTTTTCCTGAATGTATATTATTGTTACCATGGCAACCCACTGGTTACTTGCAACAGTTAGCATTTGTTAGCCTTTCTACAAAACTGCTTCTGCTGTATTTCAACTTAAATTTATCAGTTTTATTACTTATTGAAAGAGAGTGAAGATAAAAAAAAACCTTAACCTACGTATTTTGGGGAATTTCTCAACATTCCATTGGTTTGAATGGGAGCAGTCAAAAAGACGGCTCTGGGAATTTGTAGTTGTTTCAGAATTCTAGGAGTCCTAGTGTTAAAACTGGAGCACCTATCTTTCTCAGAAGTAATAGATTTTTGACTTGTCTCAATAAAAATTAAGAGTCTTGCTGAGTGGAGTTTGCATGCTCTCCCTGTGTTTACTTCGAGTGCCCCGATTTGGCATACCACTAACACCATGTTCAATATAGTTCAGAGTGAATCAGTGTGTGTTTGTGAGGCCGACTGAGCACTGTCCAAAACAAATAAACCATAAATAAAACATAAAATCGTATCATCTTTTAAGAAAACTTGTTATATTTAGCCAAACAAAGACCTCTGAGTTTCTATTTTGGCTTAGAGCTGATCTGAATGACATTTGATGAAAAGATGTGGCAGTTTTAGGCTATATCCACACGAAGACAAAACGCTTATAATTTCAGAAACTTTTTCTGTAAACACGGAGTTAGCTCAGTAAATGTGTGCGTCCATATGAATGTAGTCAATACGCCTGAAAACGCTGTGAAACTATGCCAGACCTGTTGGTGGCGCTGTGACGCAATGACGGGATCAAGCCCAAACTTCCGTGGGCATGCGCAGAATTTTGTAAACAGACAACATGGCGAGTGGGTGAGCTGGTACTACATTAGTATGGACGGATGATGAGGTTGAACTGTTGCTTCGGGTCACACTGGATTACAAAACCAACAAGCTACATTGTTGTTGTCATTATTTTCTGAGTGCGGCGCATGCATGCTTTAACAAGAGGCGGGGCGATGACGCAAGCGTCTCAGATACATTGCGGAGAGGCAGTAACCACGGAGCGGCATATACGGAGTTTTGAAATCTTTCCACTCTGGGACCTAGTTTCAAAAATGTTCGTTTACACCCCCCCAAAACGCCGGCCTCGCATGGACGATACACTGGATTGATAAAGTATTTTTGCGTTTAGACCTGAGCTTGACTTCGTGTGGACAGGGCCATAGAGAGGAAAAGTTAGATCTGTTTGATTCCTTTTTTGTTGTTTGAAAGTTAGGTACCCCAGCTTTAAGTACCACAACTTCCACATAAACCTGTTATTTTCTTTTAAAGCTCGGCCCATATTCTGAAATGCATCATATTCTACAGTCTTCCTTTATTGTAGCTGCTTCTGTTTGTGCTTAAAATAAAGGATACCAACATTATTTACATGTATATACAAAGGTAAGTTTCAATATAAAATCTCAATTCTCATTAACCCTAATTATAAACCAGTGGATTCATGGTTTGTATGTTTCTTGTTTTATGCTGACACTAAAACTAAATTAAACAATCAAAATATATATTAATTCCCAAATAACCTTAATTACATTTTGCCACATGAGATTATAACATGTCGCCCAGGAGTTTCATCACAAAGCGATTACAACTTCTTACAACTCTACAGAATTTAATTACATTTAATAAAGTTAATTAAAGTTGAGGACAATTTTAAAATACATCGGAAGTACTTAGCAAAGATTTAGATGAGTTGAGTGAAACAAAAGATCAGGTGGTAATAGTTTTAATTGCTTTGCACTTTGTTTCTTCTTTTTGTATTTTTTTTTTATAAATTGGGAGCCTGCCGCAAAACTGCACTGCAAAAAGTGAGAACATATGAGGTAATAAATGATTAAATCAAGTGGCTTTTATCTTAACCATTTAACACTCCCTATCCCTCGTTGAAGAAAGCATTTTTTCTCTTTTGAATTTTCTAAGATGTAGGACACAAAAAACACATTTATTTTTTTAACCCCTTTTTTATCATAGGCCTTTACCAAATGGTTGAGATGCAGTTTGATATTAAAAGTTCCTAAAATCAACTGAGAATCTGAGATTAATTAGGTACATTTCATTTCCAAGATTCAAGTAGATAGAGACTCAAAAGGTGATCTACCAAATGGTTGAGGAAACCATTAAAGGGTTAATTGGAGTCCATTCTGACCGTCTTAAAACAATATTTCCCAATAGGACAAAGTCATTTAGTCTTATTTAAAAAAAAATATCTCATTCCAAGGGAGACATTTCTTGTATCTTTTAAGTCCAAGATAATGTTTCTTGTCCCATAGGCAAATCTTGTTTTGTCAAAATGTGCACAAAATAAGATACATTATGCAAAATGTCTGCGATTTTTTTATTTAAACAAAAAAAAACACACTGGCATAACTACTGTACATAAAACAAACACCATCCATCCATCTTCTTCCCCTTAATCAAATTCTGGGATGCCGTCAGAGCTTCACCTAATTCACAGAGCAATATAACAAACACACAGCAATAACAATAATGATAATAATTTTTAAAAAACACATTTAGCATTTTTTGACTTATTTTTTTTCCACTTTTTGCTGTGTGCTGTTTACATGGCTGCCACAACAATGCGCTACCTCAAGTTGCATGTAAAATGTCATAATCTGAATTACTTTGGGTTATAAATCTACGCCCCTTTCCTCCCAGTCATTCCAGGCATCATTAAATAAAGCAATGTTTAACCCCAGCTGCCCCATTAATGTAACTCTTCATATCTGCACACATGTTTCCGCTGATGCAGGCCGCCCCACATATTACCCCCTCATTTTGTCAGACGTACTGTATGAAGTCCACTCCCCAGGGTCCCACACACTTCACTATTTAGTTTTTTATTAACATTATATTAGCCAGGGCCCCACACACGCAAACCCTGGGTATAGCGCGGAGAATCCTGCGTGG